AATCTCAACCTGTCGTTCAATGGACAGCTTCCCCCCCCCCCATCTATGTATATACTCGCATTTTAGACTCTGTTACTAACTGTATATCTGTAGACTTGGTATGTCTTAAATGTCCGGTTAGGATGTATTAGAACGAAATCTAAAATGAAAATTGTAAACAAGCAATCTGTATGTAAAAAAACCACCTGTATGTAAATTGTAAATAAGCCATCTGTATGTCAAATATGTCTTATATGTCTTAAATGACATGATGAATTGGAAATGGGGGACCCTGATGTAAACAAGACGAAAGTCTTTCTCTGGTCTGCATCCCCTTAACAATTGTATGTTTTGAGCTGTACTGTACTGTACCCAATATACAAGCTGTTAATAAACTTTTCAATCAATCAATCAAAACACTCGCATGTCACAGAAGACGCACAAAATACAAATATGAACCTGAAAATGAGCATACTAGGCCCCTTTAACTTAAAATTCATAGTTTTTCCATAGCTTATAAAGAAAAGAACCCTTCTGTGAGTTATCTTATCACATCGCGTCCCCACTTGTCAAAGCCCTAAAAGTTCACTAACAAATAACTACAAACTTCCTGTTTAACAAACCCCACTATGTACATAAAGAAAACAAAACATCACAAATATACCAAAAATGAAAAGAGAGAAAAACGAGTACAGATTACAAACATATTCACCATAAGATCATTTGGACATCTTTTTTAAAAATAGATCAACATTCTAGGAATACATATTATTGTTAACTCAAAATAACATACATTGTGTAAACTGTAAAAACTTCCTCAACTTTGACTTGTTAATGAGAAATATTCCTTGAGAGCTTTGGGTTGAACCCATTTCATATCTTAACATGGTTGTTCTAAAAAGCTTTCTGAATGTTGGTTTTCCTAGCTGCTAGGTACTTCTTGCTGTCTTCAATTCAAAATGTTTTTGGGATGTTTGGAGGCATCTCATAATGGAAACTGTTTGTTTTCAGCCTAACAATGTCAACAAGTAACAGCACATGTGCAGCTATAGAAAAAAAGAAAGCGATAGCTGGGCGTGACCTAGTCTGTGTTAACGTTCCAGGGGAAATTCACTCCCTGTGTCCCCCACAACACTCCTTATACCGCCACAGAGGAGGTTCATTATTCTCACTTTACTCCTCCACTAATTATCGTTATCATTATGGGGGGATAATTACCATTTCCCTGCCTAACACCCATGTAGGCTGCTCGGCAGTGAGTCACACACAAGGTTATCAATAGCTGCTCAATTGCAGTCTCATCTGCCTAATTATACGATTTGGGGCCTTGTGATAACTGAAAGAGATGTGGAATCTAGTATTATTCTCTGAGTGCTGGTGAGACGGGAGAGTCAGCACACGGCTCTGAAATAAACCGATGCGTGTGGAGCCTGTTAATTAAATGCTGTGGCTTTCACTGGAATATAAATCAGAGGAAATCCAGGGTTATGAAACAACTGGAAGTCTCAAAAATATCCTGTAAGCTAGTACAAAGCTGCATGAAACTAAATCCTGCGACATCTAACTTTAGAATCCTCCATCTTTGATTCCCTTCATTCCTCGCCTTGTAATACATTTCTTGTTATCTGGTTTCAGGGAGCTCTGTCCTACTCTATTAGCACCAATTCAAGCAGTTCATACCACAATATTAATGAAGAGCCCACAGCAGCTTGCCATTGTTCAGCAAACCTGTCTTACAGCCTCCGGGTGTGACTTAAGCCAAGCTTAGTAGCCGTGTTTGTCGAAAGGGTTTCTAAATCCCTCTGTGGCATTTTGGAGTTGCAGCTGACGCCTCAAACCTGATGAATGCTCTCTCCATCTGCTGCAGCTCAACACCGGAGCAACAACACTGACACAGGCCTAATCAGCAGGATAAATTCATTAGACCTGCCCTCTGTTACGCACAGAAAGATGAAGTCAAGAATTAAAAAAGAGGGCATGAGGGTGGTACAGAGGGTTGGAAGAAGGTGACAGGGTGAATGGTTCAGTAAGCGTGTGACAGACGTTTGGGTCTGACTGCTGGAATGTGTGCCGCAGAGGACCTCATGACGGACAGGGGGCATATTCTCTTTGACCCCAATTACCAGAGGTGTTCCTTTCCACTGGCTAATCCGTGGCATATAGGGTGGCCCCTCCTCTGGACATCTTCTCTTCCAGCCTGTTTGTTTTCCCTACAAGTCATATGGAAGGAGGTTGTGCATACAGGATGTGACTGACCCCTTATAAAAATACTAGCAACGTCTTTGCACCTAAACAGATGAAGTGTCTGCGGTTAATGACGTTTTTTTTAGGGATGTCCCGATCACCTTTTTTTGCTCCCGATCCGTTTCCGATAGGGATGCACGATAATTATCGGTCCGATATTAGGAATTATGACGTCATCCCGATAAACCCGATACCAGTATTAATAGCCCCGATAATATACAATATATTTTTTGGGTAAAAAAAAAGAAAAAAATACTGCGGTGTGGGTGGATTGGGATGAGGGGCGCTTGTTTTTCACTCGGCTCCTCCCGTTTTGCCAGTACTGTGGTATTAGTGGTTTAGGAAGAGGGGAGTTCTTCACAAATCCAGCGCTCCCTAACTCATGCCTGGCTGTGACGTAAATGGTGTGCGGCCGTGAAGCCAGGACAGTAAACAAACATGTCGTCGGTGGTATGGGCGTTGGAGCTATGTACAACTCAAGGCATATGCTCGAACCGGAGCTGCCTGGACGCTGCAATCATGTTGCGCACTATCCGTGCTGAGTGTGCTGACTTTTCGTACAATGTCCCACTGTCTGGCTTCCTGCATAAAGTCAAGTGCTCGGCGCAGTTGTGGCGAAATGTCGCTCCTCTGTTTTCATTTAAACAGCTCCTTATATCCGTTAGCGCAGCTAGCTAGCACCAGATGCTAACAACAACAATGCACGTAAGGTCTCTCTCTCGCTCGCTCGGGCCACACATACACACACCCTCCCGGTCCTCCCAACAGCCAGTCGGTGCCTGCCGGTGAGCGTGGAAGTGTGGTCTGCCACAAGCGGGCGGCAGGACCGGGGCTGTCAGCATCAGCTTGTAGATGGTATTTTAAACTCGATGCGCTCTGAAACTACGGGGCGGCCAAGGAAAAAAAATACACATGCGTTAATCGCGTTAAAATAATTAGTGGCGTAATTTTTTTTTTATTATCGGTTATCAGTATCGGTCTTGAGAAGCAGGAAGTTATCGGTATCGGTATCGGTTTAAAAAAAACAATATCGTGCATCCCTAGTTTCCGATCATTTGATTTTGACAATCTGCCGATACCGATTTTTCCCGATCCGAAAAAAAAGGTAACAGATAACGGCTGGTCATCCAACGCGATGAATTCAGCTATCTTGGCTGTTATTGTTTTGGCCTTTACACTGTTCTGGGGCAGTTTCTCTTTCCTTTTAAAAGTCTCTGAAAGTGTCGGTTGTTTCAGTGCCGTTACCTGAGTGGCCGCTGTGTACTCGTGTTGTTGTTGGTGTTTGTTTCTCAGGTGGCGTATTAGATTGGTCGTGTTGAACGTAGCTCTGTTCTTTCCACCACGCGGAACCTCCGCCTTGCAAACATTGCATCTGGCTGTTACACTGCCTTCGCTTTCAATTTTATAATACTTCCAAACTCCTGATATTTTCTCTGTCCCGACTCTCGAGTCACCAGCTGAACGTAGCCTCTCGTTAGCTTACTGCTACTATTAGACACTGCGCCCACTCTGTTGCCAGATTTGAGAGAAATAAGTAACCAGGTCTATGAAAACAAGCCCAAAAGAAGCAACACATACATGATGTTGTGTAATTTTAAACCAAAACTAAGGCCTCAGGATGACTTTAAGACGTGAACATGGTCATTTTTGTTTTGTAACATTAAATAAAAGAAAAATATTTTATAAAAAAAGAAACATTCCAATCCCCGATTTTATTCTCCCGATTCCGATCTTTTAAAAATCACATGATCGGCTCTGATCCCCGATCACGTGATCGGATCGGGACATCTCTAGTTTTTTTGTTAGCATTGATTTAGCATTGATTACCTGTTTTTATTATTAAGTGTTTAGGCTAATAAATCTCAGAAAAAAGTGATAATTTTCAAATAATTCTCTCCAATAAAATGTTTATTTAAAAATGATGTTAAAATGCAAAACATTTGCAATTGTTCGTTCTTAGGTCACTGGAAAAGCTTGAACGATAATGTTTGCTTAACTTATCTAAAAAGATGTATTGATTATTGAAATTTTTGTAATTTAGTTATACATTTTTTTAATTTAAATACTGCTCTTAAAGGTGGGGTAGGTAAGAATGGAGAAACCAGCTTGAGTGCGCTAGAATTTGAAAGTACACAGCCGAAACAAATCTGCCACTTCCTTACCGAGCCCCTCCTCCAACACACACGAACGCACACATGACCAATGAGGGCACGAGATAAGTTTGTGCACGAGATGGAAGGCTGACAGGCAGGTAGGCCTCCAGCTAAAATAATTGGTCGTGCTTTTTACAGCGCCATGGCAACACCATGTTAAGAGCATTCCATGGAATATAACAACAATTTTTTTTGAAGTGAATTACCTACCCCACCTTTAAGTCAAATTAATTCAGTTTGACGTTTTTGCTGGTGCTATTGTTCGTAAACATTGTATTTTCTTTCATATCGATATGAGCCCCGAAAGACGCCTTGCATAAAATGCATTGATTTTAATTAGCTGTTTTTAAGATGAAAAAAAAAAAAAGGAATGTTGTTGACAAACGGTTTCTAATATTCAGACAAATACAGTCCCTCTCGCTTCTATTAAGTTTATTTTTTTTATTTTCCACAAAATCACCTAAGGCTCTGGGAATTTTAAAATAGACATATACTATGTTCTCACATTTTCAAGATCAAGATATTTGTTTTACTAAAGAGGTTTCAATTGAACCGCAGCAGCGTTTTATATTTATGATGCCAGGAGATTATCTGACCGCCGTCTCTGCTTACTTCTTTCCACAGAGACGCTTATGGACTCCACTACAGCCACAGCGGAGCTCGGCTGGACAGTGTACCCCGTGTCAGGCACCAGTGACAACAGCGTAAGTGACACACTCTGCTTTGAAAAAGATCAGTTTCTGAGAAAGAAAATATCATTAATAATATAATTGCAAGTCATTGTTACTGTGACAAAGATGAGGTGTGTGGTGGTAAATCTTTTGTTGGATTTAAGAGTGCAGCTAATGTGTAAATTTGCTAAGTGCCCCATGCTAACTTTGTTTCAGTTATTTAGCCAATGTTTTGCTTTCTCACTTTAAGGTTAAAGATCAATTAGTAGCCTGCCTGCCCAGTCCCTGGAGTAGACTAAATAATGTCCTTGTTTCTCTGGGGGTAAAATCCAACAACGGCAAAGTTAGACATGAACATCACACGAGGGGATTTTAGGGGATGTTATTTGATGAGGATTTTCAAGATGCTACCTTTTTGTTTTTGGATATTCCACAAAGACGTTTTTACCCCCTTCATTTGAATATTCACTAGCCACATTTTATGGGTTATTCTTTTATGAATGCATCCAGTTTTCATTCAATCTAGCCTGATCTGAACTTTCCGCTTCACTACAAACACAGTTAGAATGAACAATCATAAACTTGAAGCTTAAATCCGTGTGTTCGCAGGCCAGGCTAGAAGTTATGTGTTATATGGAGCCTGTTAGTGTTTGATGCAGTGTTTCCACTCAGTTTGCCAGAGCATGGCCACATGCAAGCCAGGCCCACTTAATGTCAGCCAAAACCAGAGTCTCAGTCTCCTTCACTTCTTTCCTCACCACAAGATTTAGACTTCTGAGAGGGAGTCCAACCGAGAGGGAAACAAATGTTGTAAACTTATTTTCTGGTGAATAAAAAAAAACACTGCAGATTCTATTCAATTATTTATGCTTCTGTGGTTTGTATTAGAGACGGTTTGAATGATACTTTATCATGCTGTGTCTTTTTGCACTAAAAAAACAAAAAAATGCAGCGTATAGACCTGGCCTCCAACAGTTCCACTTCAAAGTTGTTCAGCAATGATTTTTAATAACTTCATCCTCCCCAACCTGAGTGCATGTTGTCTCCTCCTCAATGCTCATTCTTTCAATTAATAGCAAAGCAAAGAGACGCCTGCTTTCCTTTTCTCTTGCCAGCTTTGGATCCAATTTACACAGAATGAGGGAGAAAAAGAGAGCTTATGCACAAAAACCAACTCCAAAGACAGTTTACATCACATCTTCCTTTCATCTTTGCTAAACGTTGGATTCAGAAAAAACATTCACTTAAAACCATTTCAAAATTTCAAACTAAATGGAAACTTCAGACAAACAATGTAATACGCATACAAATGCAACTTGCAAACTAAAGTGAAAATTAGGTGGAATCAAGAACTAATCAAGAACTTCATCTTTGTTCCCCGTGGTGTACCACCTTACATGGTAGATTCTCTTCCACATTTGTTCACATGTAGTTTCACTGAAAGACTTCAGCAAAAACCGATTCATCATCATATTTAAGTGGAAACTTCAGATGAAAAATGTAATACATGCAAAAATGCCACTTGCAAACTTAAGTGAAAATCTCCCAAAATTAGGTGGAATCAAGATAAAACTTTAAACTAAAGAGGAACCATCTTTGTTCCTTGCGGTGCACCGCATGATTTTGTGGTTGCTTCCCTTCTAAATATCTTCGACGAAAGGCTTATCTACGAGGGCTTTCCTATTTTCTGCTTTGACTTCACATAATTCCACGGTCCTTTCCAAAAAAACTCCATATGAAGTCATAATATATCCCTCTCTCAGAGTGCAATGAAATGCAAACAAGTCCCTAAGCCTCTGGATTTAGTCAGGTATAGGTTTGGTCTTATCGGCGTGGGCACGGAACTTTTATGATGATGTGGCTGAGCTCGTCAAAAGCACAGTCCATCGGAAAGTGACGAGTGAGAGCGATGGGAGATAGCTTGTCCCTTATGGCGCGGGGCGACAGGTGTGGAAACACAGCACGCTCTCCCTCTCAGTATAACAGTGAGAGGTGCTTTACAGAAGCTATTGTCTTACACACATATATGCATGGCTTCACGGGCTTAGCCAGTGGATCAGTAACATCCAGCAGAGCGCCGCAGCACCAACAGTTGGCTTTCACTACTCTGTACAGCTTTATGAAATATATCCTAACTTGACATGCGATACTTTGAGACACAATGGAAATGCAATCAAGCAACAGTGTGATATTAAGTCAGAAATGCTATGGCAGTTGGTGTTATTGCACTCTTTTATTTAACAGCATATTTGATATCGCCTATCACATTATTATTCTAAGAAATCTCTTCAAGCACAGCTGTAAAATCAACTCTCTACAGTAGGTTTTTCAAAGTGATGTGTGTCATACAGCATAGCTTCTGTAAATCATGTTTTATAACCCTCTGTGTACAGCAAGGCAGCTCTTCCTTCTAATTATGTTAAATGACAGCCAGACTTGTGTCGTTCCTGAGCCACACACGCAAGACAACTTCGTTATTCCTAAAAACTGAAAACACTGACAAAAAATGTTCTATTCATCAAACAATCTACATCCCGGCAGTTTAGGAGGTTTGAAAGCTGAACATGTTTAAGATTCTGGCAATAAAGCAAATACCTCACATACCACAAGGAAACCAGGGCAGTCAGTATAGTTTGACAATCATGTAGACATGTGACCTTTGTGAGGGCTTTAGTGTACACATACGCAAAAAGGACAGGGCTGCACAATTAATTGACATTTTATGAAATTGGAATAATGACTAATGCAATATCTCAATTGCTGTAGGGGCAATATTTGGCAAAGGTCAAATGTGGTAACTAGGGGTGTAACGGTTCACAAACATTTCGGTTCCGTACAGTACGTACCTCGGTTTTTAGGTCACGGTTCGGTTCGGTACGTTTTCGGTAAAGCAGAAAAAATTATCACAAAACATCAAATATTTTTGCTTTGGTTCGGTCTACCTGTCTTTGTCCGTCATCCTTGTACGTAACTGCGAAACCAAAATGTTCCCAAACCGGAGACTTCAATGATGCTGGAGGATTTTCGAGCTCAACTTTATCTGCGTTCGCCATTTCGCCAGTTCCTCAAATTACTGACTACATTTGAACGCATCCCTGTGACCAGCTCTCATAGTATGCCTCTCGTCCAATTAAATGACTTGCTCGCTCTATGACGCGTTGAACCCATATACTGTATATATAAAGGTTGAACCCAATGTGAGCAAATTACTCTGAATGCTGCGACGCAGCACCTGAGAGTACTTCCAAAAAGTTGTTCACGTTCTCAATTTTTTACGTTTAACGTTATATTCGTTCGGTACACTTCGGTACACACGTGTACCGAACCGAATAATTTCGGTACGGGTACGTGTACCGTTACACCCCTAGTGGTAACATATCTGAATGAAAGTCCCAGCCTGCAAAACTTCTGTTCTACAGACTTGCAAAACATCCGTGTTTGGTACAGATCCTCTTAAAATAATAATTGTAATGCATTTTCTTAATGAATATTTATAATACAAATAATAATTTCCTCTACAATTACAAAGCAAATCAAATTTCATTCATATAGCCCCATATCACAAACACATTTGTCTGGTCTGTACATATCAACAAACATAAATAACAATGTATTTAGATTTAGATTCAGGTAAGAATGTAAATTAAATTAAAATACAGGGTGTAAATCATGTAAAATGTGCAATATCAGTCAATATAAACGCAATAAAAATAATGTTCCCAGTCGTCTAGCCCTAAATGTTACCCACATTTGCAACAAAACTTGTGCAGCACCTTTAACATCAGTCCACGTAAAGATCGTGTTTCCCTGTCTTGGGGGGGTGCTGCGCCACCCCAACGGAGCCCCGCGCCCCCCCTGAAATTCAAGGTGTTTTTAAAATGTTTTTGTATATATATATATATATATATATATATATAGCGCCAAATCGCAACTGAAGTAATCTATCTACGGTCACTTTTCGCATTGAACATGTGCTCTTTTATTAAATAAACTATATATATATAAATGTTATGTATAATAAATGTTATTTATCCAATGTACAGTATGTGCATGTTTCAGTGTCCACTGCATTGCTTTGCACATCCACATTCTGTCCTCCGCTCTGTTTCTGAAGGGCAGGGCTCCGCTCCGACACTCACAGAAAGAGCGGAGGAAAGGAGGAGAACAACAAAGTGTAAAAAAGTAAAACAAGTTAGCATTAAAGCCCCGAGCTCTGCTGTTGGTCATGTAAGTCATGGGCGTAATTTCCACATGTCGTCCCCCCCCCACTGTTCAAAATCCCGTTTGTGTCCCCCCACTTTCAAATTTGTTTATTATAATTTGTTAACCTCAATCCGTCATCGTCACGGAGGAGCAGGACACACAGCCTGCCTAGGTGGACGCGCGCGAACGCGAACGTAGCGTGCACATTCTAAAAATAGCTCACTGATGATGAGCTGATGATGATCATGATGATGATGATGATGAACCGCGGTTTTGAACTGGTGACAGAAAACAACAATGAAACGCCACCAAATTAGTGTAATGACTACTTGGGTGAAAAATAAGACAGGAGATGTGAGTTAGTTTATTCAGTAAATTAGCTCAGGATAATCAAAGTTTAAACAAATATTACCCTTCCCCCCCCCCCCCCCCCCCCCGTTCGCAATCATCGGCAGCACCCCCCCAAAGCAAACCTAGGGGGAACACTGGATCCTGAGTTTTCAACCCTTTGACAGTCTTTTATGTGACATGGAGATAACGTATAGCCGGCTAGCATAGCAGGGTTAAGTGGTCAGTGTTTCTTCTCAAGTGCATCTGAGTGACGCGTGAACATCAGGTCAGACCCCCTGACCCTCTCACTCCGCAGCTGAAGTAATGACAACAGCAGCCATTTAGAAATAGACTTATAGCCGCAGGGAGCACACAGAGCTACGGTGGAGGGAAAACTGCGATTGCGGAGAATAATAAAGTGTTGTGTGTGTGTGTGGGTCAGGTTATCATTATGGATGTGTGACAATGTGTTATACCATGAAATATCGAGTGTCACTTGG